AAAAGGAAACTCAGTGTAACACAATTGAGCCGAGACTAAGGCATATACATATTTTCTGTTAAGCTAAATGAACTGCATGCACTCTTATAATTGCACTTCCCTTGGTTTTCTTTGCTTCCTTGCTACTTTCCATTTTCCTTCCTTTTTCATGTTTTCTTTTATTTCATTGTTTATAATTCTAGCCATAATAATGCCCCCTTTTAAATTARTAAGAAGAGGAAAATCTCACATAACAGATCCCATTGTGCTTCTGGTTTTGTTATAGGGGAGTCCAAATGAAAAAGATAAACTTGAAAAACAGAAAATTTGTATGGGATATACACTATTGAGTGCCAGCTATATACTAAGCACTGCCATATAGTTTGAGATCATGATCTAATGTTTCCGATTCTCCTTAAGTGTATATACATGTTGCTCTTTCTGCTTTTTATAATTAAAGTATGCAATGTTGAAGGAAAGAACCTTAAAAGGCCCAAATTTTACAGATAAAGACCACTAGACCCTAATAGCAGCAGGGACTTGCCCAAACAGCATAACATCTCGGATGAGTCTCCTTTCCTGGCCTCGGGAAAGATATCCCAGCCTTAGGATAAAATACAGATTGAAATATATAGTCATGTGGCTTATCGGAACTGGACTGAAGCCCATTAAGTCAAATGAGAAAAGTTGACTTCCCTAGGCAGCCTCTGGGCCTGAGGTAAGAGACAACCTCCTAAGACATATACAACTCTTTTCCTGGTGAAGGGAGTCTTTTTGTTTATTTTTGGAGGGCCTTGTTTTGCTGATGAAGTCAGGGTTAGATTGAGACCTGAAATGGCACAGCTGACTCTTCTAGATCCCAGGTAGTGGGGTATAAAAGCCCACACCACACCTAGGAGATTACTTTCCTGCACCATCTTCTAAGAATATTATACCAATCTGCCACCCCACTACCAGGGGAAGAAGGCAGGTCATCTTTAACTTGAACCCAGAATTCTTCAGTTACCTGGGAAGTAAATTTGACTTTTCATTTATCAGAGGGCAAAACAAACCAAAAGATGCAGTTAAYGTGAGCTTTTATTACAAATCTGGTTGATAATGAGAGAGAAGTATCAATTTGGAATTTTAAAAAATAAAAAACACCTAGTGAAAACAAAAGTGTTTGTTTTTCTGATTAGCAAAATTTATTTATTGTATTTCTGTTATAGCAAAAATGCTGTATGTGCTTCATTAAGGGGGGAGCAAAAAGAAAGCTTCTTTCTATATATGTCTTTTCAGTCTGTAGAATTAAACAATATCCATATTTAAGAAACTGAAGATGAGAACACAACAAAAACACAACAATCTTTTTATTTATGTAAATCAGGTCAACACTGAACAATAAATCAATTTCTACCCAGTACCATAACAGCTTGTCTATAAAGAACAGAAAAAGTCAGATAAGATTCTACCTAGGATCAAGCGGTTTTTTTTTTTTAACCACCCATTCACAGAGGTATAGATTCACAGATAAATAATCCCAAACTACTTGCTCGCCATATTTACACATTCCCATTAAATTAAGCATAAATAAATATATACAAACTTAACATGGATACCCTCCAGAGCTCTTCTCATGAAGAGTCAATAGATTGATATTTCTTGATTGTGTGGCAAAAAACAGTGATAGCSAATTAAGACCAACTCAAAAGAGGAGTTGATTTGGGCATTTAAAGGATAGTATTCACTCCGTTTAAAAAAAAAAAAACAAATTTCAGTATTTCTCTATGCCAATAATTTAATATACATCAGCAAAGGAGGGAGAACACTGGGCTCTTGAGGCAACATCAGATGGTTTAAGATTATTATTTCCTTTCCACATAATGTATTACACGTACAGGGTATCAGATGTGATGACAAATTTTCTATAAACACTCTAACTAGGAACGCGTTGTACCAGTAGAACAGTGTGTTGATGAGTTCGGGGTTTCGGGTTTTCCATTCTACCCAAGTTTTCATAGGATATGATATAATTGCTTGAGAGAAAGTGCTTTCCTTGGCCAAAGAAAACAAATCAGGCCTTTGAAAGCCTCTTCGGTTCTTTATGTGGGGGTGGAGAAAGCTAAGGATGTGGAGGCCAGAAAGAAGGAAAGAAAAGGCAAGTTAATTCGGGGGTGGGGAGAGGAGGAGACAGATTTACTTCCCATTTAGGGGTAGAAGTTAAAAAGGAGACCTTTCATGATTAAATCCTCACCCAGAACAGCCTTTTCCTTGACCCCCAGAGACCAACTACATATAGGAAGGAGGTAGGATTGGGCAGACAATGATCTGGAGATGTTCAGAACCTCTAAAAGAACTTGCAGAGTGGAAGTGAGAGAGCTCCGCTGACACATCCTGAYTCCTTTCTATCTTGACCTATTTTGATTTGGGACCAAGCATTTAGAAGGGGGCATGCGGGCAGAGCTAAAATGTTTAAGGAGTGCCGGGGTGGGGCAGAGAGCTGCAACTCACCTGTTTTTTWWAAAAACAAAGCTCAAAGGGTCTTGCCTTAAACGTTTTCCTTGACTTAAAAGGCAAACTCTTGCGTTAATCCTACTGTTTATTGATTTATAAGCCCAAGGAAACCAAATCTTTTAATAACTCAATTATCAGATAAACGTAGCAGGCCTGCCTAACGAAAGCATGGGGGCTGGGGTCCTACATGAAAGAAGTGAGGGAAGGAGAGGGGGTAGTGGGCTCATTCCAACCCCCGCCCCCTTCAGGAGCGTGAGGTGGGGAGAGTTTCCTTCCTGGCAGAGGAGAAGAGAGGGAAGCTTCCATTCCCTGGACATTTCTAAGCCACTTCCCTCTGGGTGTGGGCGCCCAGGGTGGCTGCTGGTAGCAAAGGGCTTACGCAGCGCCGGGCCCCCACCCCCCCTGCAGGCCGCGGGGCGCCGCCTCTTTACCTACTGGAGAACGGGGGCTTTCTCGGTCTCCTTAGCCCTTAGGGTGAGACCGAGAGCGAGAAGGGCCGTTGCTGCCGGCGGCCCCTGCAGCGGCTGATTTCTATGTCCTCAAAACGACTGGGCGCGAGTGGCCCACATGCTCTCAGGACCTGCACAGTAAGAGCAAGGCGCATCCATCGCGTCTCTCGAACGTCACACGCGTGGGGCGCGTTGCCCTGCAAGGAAAGGAGACGATGGTTTTCAGTGTGATTTCTCCCGGCCTTGTGCAATCAGAACACATCTAATGCAAGTGTCCAGGCTCTCAGTCAAAGGCACGGGCTTCTGAACAGGGCAAAGATGAGTGTCTACACTTTCCATATGGTCTTGTTCCCGGCCTTTGTGCTCCTTTCAACTCAGTCTAGGACTGGGCACTGCAGACCCACAGGCCCCAAAAGGAGCAAGGGGTAGGAGCTGGGGTGTGTACCCGTTGCTTGGGCCAGCTCCCTAAATCTCCACCTCACTCTGAACTAAGCTCTCCGCAGGTTTCTAAGATCCCAACCCTTCCCACTGGCCCCAAGGCAGGGTAGAGAGTTGCAAAACTGAAGAGTCCAAGAGATTTGAATGGATCCTATTTGTAAGTCCCTCAGAATAACATCTGGATCTTTATCTTCCAGGGCTGTTGCAAAGGTCCTAACTACTTTGTTTAAACGAGGAGCTTGTACCTTCACTAAATTTAGAGACCTATCTCATCCACTACTATCCCCAGGGGATTTTTCACTGCTTTTAGGAAGATGCAACAATGGATTCCAGATTTTATTTAATGATAATACTAAGATAGAGCTGGAGAAAGGAGCTGGGCTGCTAGAATTGAGAAACATTAAATGCATGAAACTTTATCCACTGGGAATATTCACAGTGTATCCAGACGGTAAAATTCGAAGCTGAAATACATCTCCTTTCATTCTGCATTATTTTATCATCATATGCCAAAACAAGTGCACGTCTGGGAGGGAAAATGCCTCATTCATAAAGCATCTTGTAAGAAAGCAATTGTTGCAGTAACACGGGAGCTTGTACCACCCTCTTTCTCACCTCTGCGTGCAAAACTATTTCTTTTCCCCACTAAAACAGCAATCACCAAAGAGCCCAGGGAGATCGAATCCATTTTAAGTGAGGTCAATACTGTTAGAATATAAGGTTTTGCAAGAACCCTTACTCTTTTCCCTTAAAATTCATTTTGCACCCCCCTCCCCGCGCAGGAATTSTAGTGTTGAGGTATGTTAACAAGGAGATTCAAAGCTGCTTCCATCATATTGGCCACTTTCTAAAGTATTCCCTTTGAGCTTCTTTAAAGAAGTGMAGAATTCTGACATACAGGCTTTGATTAAAAAGGGATCGGATTTTTTTTCTCAGTACCTTATAGATTGTGTAGGAAGCCCAAGTCCTCTTTGAAGAAGCTCATAAACCATGCGGGCAAAGCTTTGGAAAACAGAAGAGAATGAAATGGTACATACCCCTCCGAAGGAATTACATACTAATCAAAGTATTCATATTTTTTACTATAGTTCTTAAAATTGGTAGATGACACAAATATTATAACAAATGCAAGATTCTCTGTATGCAGATGCTGGCAAGGCTGGGAACTAGTAACATTTCTGAAAGGAACTGATGATGAGTCTGAATCAACTTTTTGGTCCGGATTTTCCTCAGGCGCGGAAAATCTACTCTGCCGGCCGGTACCAAAAGCTGCAGCCTCCGCCTGCATCTGGGCAGGCTGCCCGCCCCGCCCGCCCATGCCCTCCCTAGTTATGCCAACCGACAGGGAGTTGGGCACCCTTAAGAACGCGGGGTGGGGCTGGGGTATTAAAGGGACTGAAACAACTCAAAAGGGTTAATCACACTCATTTCCATCCCAGAAAATTCCCGTAACAGTGTGAGGAAGGGAGGGCAACGTAGAAAAGGGATCAGGTGAGATGGAGGGCGGGGACTGCAAGTTTCCTTAAAAAAAAAAAAAAATTAAAAATTAAAAAGTTCGTGCGTCTCAGTCAACCAGCTCTCAAAGCTCTGACACCAACGTTTCTCCGATTTTCTTCCAATAAGTTAGCGTTTCTCGTGTTTAGTCTTATGTTTATTTTCCAAAGGGAGGGGGTGTAAAATCATAGTTTTATTATCAGTATTACTAAGCTCGAAAGAACCGAAGTGGAAAATCCGGACGGTTGTCTCCAAGTGTATATCTTGAAATTGACACTGAGAACCGATATTGTTGCTCCGTTGTATGCCTCAGTTTTTTTTTTAAGTTATTTAGCTTTCTTTTTTTTTTAATTTTGATTGTATGTGTATTCTACCTAATATAATTCTTCCAAAGCCAATCCAATATTTTAAAGCTAAAATTAATTTTTTGTTTTCCTTTTGTATTTAAAACATTTTTTCCTTCTTTTTAAATTTTTTTTTTTTTCATTTCCTGTGTTTCTCCTCCTTGTCGCCAGTTTTACTACCTGGGCCTTCCCCAGACGTGTGCCTGTTAGTTGTGGTGTTGTTCAAGAACATCTTGTCCATGCCTTTGAGCGCCTCGGTGAGATAGTTCTGAAGGGCCGTGAGCGCCGCGCAAATGGCCGGGGCGCCGAAACCGTGCGTGATGAGGCTGAAGTGCGTGAGGCAGCTCTGGATGCCCGGTTCCAGGATGGGACTGGGCCGGCTGTTCCCTATTGGCGTCCGGTCTTGTGCCAGCAGATCCGTAAATTCTTTACAAAGTTGCCTGCAGAGGGGTAGGGGGAGGAACAGAAAATCACCCTCAGTGTCGTTGTCATTGGCATTAGAAAGGAGACGCTCACACAAGCCCAGAGGCGTCCGGTCACCAAAGAGCGAGGCTAATGTGTGCGATTCCGCTCTGTTTCCTTTCCCAGTGCACTCCCTTGTTGAGCAGCTGGGACTGGAAGGAAAGCGGGGGTGAGGAGGTAATGCACCCCTTCCACCACCAAGCTTTGCCTCCCCCACCCACACACACACACACTTTTTCAGTCTTTCTCCACTCCAGGACCGCACAGATTCTGCTGTGGGAAATTCTGTGTGCTTTAGCTTTGGATTTTGAATATTCAATACTTTTGAGCTTTTACCTGGTATTTCTTTTAAGCCATTTTCCCCTCCTCTCTCCTGCCTCTCCAACCTCTTGGTGATCAGGCACAAAAAGCCCTGAAAGATTTAGGCCCCTGGCCACAAGCCTGTCCCTGGCACTGAAGCAGATTGCTAGAGCCTTGCATGGCCCAGGGCAAGAAACTGTTTATTCTAGGAGAGAATGCTGATTTCATTCAAAGCACAAACTTGTTTACCTGCAGTATTTAAGGAGCAGAATATTTTCTTCCCTCTTTTTAAAAATTGTTTGTTCCCTTTTCTTTTCTGCAAGTGTGGGCTACTAAAAATCTCTGTATAACAGGATTGTTGTCAATATAAAAGGATTCACACATAGTTTAAATAAAACCGAAAGGTAGACTAAGACACTAGGGAGAATAGATTTTTATTTGTTGAAGGTTTTTATTTCCTTAAGGCACCTACAATTTTGAGAAGTCTCCTAGTCTTAGAAATCCTGCGTGCCTAACTATAGATTGAGCTTATTTGAGAAATTTTTAATATAAGAGGTGGAAGGGAGGGTATTAGCCCTGAAGTCATATGGCTTGGCTCTGCTGGCAGGCAGAAGCACAGCATCCCACAGGCCACAGCCTTTCACAGATTGCTTGACTTCTCTTGGCAACTTGCCTCCACCCAGCCTATGGGTCTGTGGGGGTCTCAAGAGAAACAAATCTACAGCAAATCTACTCCTAGACCCCCACTGGGATGACCTGAGAGATACACCTGACCTAGACAGTAGGTAAACAGGGTAGGCTATTGGGTTTGAAGGATCCTGAGGTATCATTTTCCCAGAGTGTTGTCACTTTTGCAGGTGACCTCCTATCTCATCCACTGGAAGTAGCTAAAACACTGGTTTTAGGCTGGTGGATAGAGAACACCCTCTGATGCCTCCATGGGAAATGTACCCATAACTCCTTATAACTAGTAAGAAATAGGTAACTCCTCCCTCCTGAGTGGAGCAGTTCTTAAGCCAGAGATTCCTTGGAATCACGTGTGGGGTTCAACTACAGGCTCCTAGTCCCCATCCAGTGATTCCATGCATACATAGCTTGGAAAAGATCCCTAGGCGAGTCCATGATGCCCCAGGTTAAAAAGCACCCTAGGCCTAAGAAAGCCACAAGATTTCAAGAGAGGAAGAGTCACAAACATCCCTTAGGGAAATAGAGTCTTTTGTGGAATCCCATTATCTGACTTGCATATTTTGGTTTGAGTTTTATTTTCCCCTAAAAGTGTCCTTCCTTAAAAAAAAAAAAAAATCAAGAACAACTCCCCCCCCCCAAACACACACACAACCAGACACCAGGCAAGGGGGTAGCAGGGCAATCTACTGGCAAATATCTATACATTGTTAGTTGGTACATCAGAGGAAAACCTTATAAAAAGAGGGTGGGTGCCAAGTTTTGATCATTGGGAGAGATGGTTAAAGTCTTTCCTTAAGTTTGTACTCATTACCAAAGTGCCAAAAAGGAAATTCTGTACTGGGAAGAACAAATGCTTAGAGTCAAACATTTTAAATCTTCAAAGCCCCAAACCAGGGTCTGTAAGCAATTAAAGTTCTGGGACATTAATATTTTTTGACCCTGCGGAAAGGGGCAATCAAATTCCAATCACGTCTCAAAAACATCTGGACAAATTTGAGCAAATGATTTTTCAGCCTTCCATATATTTCTTTAAATTACGCTGTCAACGGAACAAACCGCGTCCTCGAGCACTAAATAAATGAGCGCCGCTGTTTAGGCCGCGCCTGCTAGAGAAACGTTCGGGCGGGCACACGCAGCGCCGCCCACTGCAGGCCTGAGCTGGCCATAAAACACCGACAATATGACACCGAAGCCAAAGACAGGAGTAAATCAAATAAATAGAAAACCCACTGTAAAAGTTCAAATGAGCTCTAGACCTAAATTTAGCCAGAGATTTACTATTTTCCCCTCTGGAGTTGTAGTAAATTTTACAAGTCTGGAAGATGACAAACAGCAACGTTGGAAACGTGGTAATTAGAGCTGTGGGTAGAGATGGTTACACGTGGGTGACACATAGACACCCTAAGCAAGCACACATGGCTATACGGGTATGACAGGGAGATAGATGTGAAACCCAGGGAGAAATATGCACCCAGGGATGCAGGGAAGAACTGAAAAAAGACCCAGCTGACAAAGGTCTGCCTGACATCCCCAGGCTTGTAGAAGAGAATTGTTAAAAGCCGGACTTGGATATAAAGAAGAGGACTGAGGAGAGATAGCTCATCAACTCTGTCCACCTGGTGGAGGCTGGGACAGCTTCCTAGCCAGCTACAGCTCACCACAGCCTTCAAGGAGCTCCATTATGGCCCCATAGAGGAAGGTCTGCGCAGCTCCCTACTGCCTCTTCCCAAGCTGGTGGCCCAGCAGGGTAGAAGTCAACGGGATAGAAAGCATTTGGGACACTCACTTGGTGGCCAGCAGCATGTTCTTTCGGGAGTGCAGGTCACTGGGGTCGGTGTGCTGCCGATTCAAATACTCAGAGACAGCTTTAGCAGGAAACTCTGTTTCGCAAATGTACCCAAAATCCCGAGCTAAATGAACAGCTTCTCCTGAAAACATAGTAGCAGAGAATTAGCAGCCAGTTCCTAAACATCTCAAGGGCAGAAGCCACACCCTAGTCAACTGTTAGTATGGCCAGTAGAGGCCAGGTGTTAGGAGCAAAGGCAATCAAGAGACAAGATGCCCAAAGCAAAGAGGATTCTCCAGTTGTAATGAAAGTTGAGAGTACAAACTTTACACTTGGCAATCTTTCCTGCTTTTCCTGAGCCAAATCCTAGGCAGACATTCCCTGAATAGCTATGGGGTCTCCTACTCATTTAGTCTTAAAAGAAAGGTATGTCAATAAATTCAAGAGCCACCTTCCAACTCAATCTATAGACAATTGGTTGAATATACAAGCCAGATTCCCCTCCCCTGCCTTCTTTCTAAAGCATCAGTCACACCTACTTTAAATAAAATTTAAGTTACCACCATCTCCTATAATTGTATTAGGAAAATTCCTTATTAAAAACTAATATGTATAAACAAATCCACGTGTGTAAATATTCGCAAATATTAAAGAATATAGCCTTCAGGTTTCTTGCCTTTAGAGGTTTCCGTCATCATATATTCCAGCTTAAAGACTTTCTATTGCACACGGATGCAAATAGAGAAAACCAGGACATCTAAAGTATTCCAGAGCTTATAAGAAAGTCCCTTTCGAATAAGGCATTATTACCCTTTAAATCATAGCCTTAGGGGTTCAAGCAGGAAAGATCACAAACATGATCCCATAGCTACATTATTTTTAAGGAGCACGACTTACTTTTAATCATCATTATCATAATAACAACATAGGACTTCAGGCATGGTGCTTACCAGGATTCAAACTGAAAACTGCCAACCAAGTACTGAAATTTCAGTGGGATTTCCAGTTTCCTCCCTTCTTGAAAATCTCTGTCTTGGGCAAAGGGTATTTGACTGTTTTTCAAAATGAAGATAGTGATACTAGCAATTCCCTGAAGGGCAAAATGTGAAACCCCCAGGCTAAGAGTCAACTGCTAATAAGTGTGGCTTGGAATTTGGTGACTACTGCCTCTGGAGGGTTTGTCTGGGCCAAGCTACTTTGCCTTAAAGATGGCAAAGTGCAAGGCCTACAGCCTTGATGACTTTATGGTTGCTGTTTAAATATTCTAAGATTCCCTCCTCCAAAAATCAACTCACTACAGGAGTGTCATAAGATTTTATCAATAAAAAAATGGAGGAAAAAATGACCAAAAAGCTAGATTCTAGAGAAAAGTCTACTTCTTCCTCTGTTAAGATCATCTGGCTATATTTCCTGTTTTCCATCTCATAAATTCAAATGCAGATATTCTTGTTCTAGACTATGTAGATGATCATATACCATAATATCATACCATAAATATCATCCCCAAAGTAAACCTATGAGCAAATTAGAGATGTCTTCTACACTTATGGCTATTTACTTCTCAATTAACAAATCTACATGGAAGATCACGCTGACTCTCCTCTGTGTTTTCTCAATGCCCCTTCCTAATTTTATCTTGGGCATCATTGGCTTTATTAAGCTATCAATATTTCAATAAGTCCCAGGTGGTAAGTAAGAGATGGAGTCTTGGGAGTGACATGAAGTTTCAAATAACCATTAGGGATCATGTATGCAATGTGTTTTCTAGCAGTGACAATACAGAGGTATATCTGGAAAAGAAGAAGGGCTATGGATTGCTGCATTCAGAGTTACTCTTTCAAGAGTTCATACAGAAGGTGTTTCAGACACCAGTGGCAACCAAGGAGATTCCTGTGGTGTCTTGGAGGCTGGATCTGATCACTCTTAAGAGCACAGGGACCTTTATATATATGTCCCTTGGCCTCTCTGCAACTGCTGGTGCCCTCTAAGTAAAAGGACCTTTGAACTTCTCTCAAGCAGCCGCTTGACATCCAACTCATAAGGGCACAACGATCGCAATGATTTCCAGTTAATCATGAAACATGTAAAATGTCAACCTCCAGTCGACAGTTAAGCTCAGTCACTTCTTGAAATGGCCACACATCTTGCTTACCTTCCACCAGGGAGGTGAGTAACGTGACATTTGCTGCTTTGCGCCTGCCCGCGGGTAAATTCAAACCGATTTTTTCTAGCCTTTCTCGCAAAGATCTCCCCCCATTTTTCGATTTGGCTCTGAAATTGCAAGAATTAACATTCTGATTAACCTCAGAGTGTTCCTGAAACAAAGTTTAGACTTAGCAATCTAAAGCCCAGTGGAGCTTGAAGAGGTTTTAACTTGAGGTTAGCACCCACCCCCTTTCTTTTGCTTATTTGCTGATAGTTTGCTGAGGTTTGCTTAATTTCTGCAATACAGAGTATAAAAAAAGACTCCTTTTCTCGCTTTTTTTATCTTGTGAGGAAAAAATGATACCAGATGGGAATAATTAAGATGTAGGTTGTGGGTCCAGAGAAGGTAAAAATTGCACATGTGAGTGCACACACATACACACACACACACAGGTTCATTTATTGTCAAGGAGTCAGTGAGGAGAGCAGTTCAGGAGCAAGAGCAACCTTCCTGAGAAGTGTCAGGTGGTTCAGGAAGGCGAAGGCACAGTGAGCTCTCTAAGGAAGAGTCCAAAGTTTCAGTAAAACAAAGTTGTTTTAGGAGGAAGACTGATGTAAATAATGATGATGATCATTATAACAACAGAAAAAGTAACACTTTTCAGAGTTTGTTGTATGACAAGCACTTTATATTGTCTCTTTGTGCATCTGTTTCATACACACATTTGGGGGTGATGAAAACTTCCCCAGTCTGAAGGTCAAAGGACTCATTTTTGAAAATTGAACCAGAGCAAGAAATAAGAAAGTTCTTGGGTCCCACACTGGCGTTCCTTAATGTCTCCCGAGGCTTGTATGTGCTAAAGACTGGGCAAAAATAAAAGAAAAACCCCAGTCACCACGGACTGCCCCTTGATGTACTACTCACACAGTCACTTTACAAAAGAAAGGAACTGTCAACCCCTAAAATGGGCTCACTAGGAAGGTTTTGTCTCATTAAGCAGGCTTGGTGGCCCATGCCTGTAATCCCAGCAACTCAGGAGGCTGAAGCGGGAAAATGGTAAATTAAAGGCCAGTTTCAGCAACTTAGTGAGGCCTTAACAATTTAGCAAGCTCCTGTCTCAATAAATAAATAAAATAAAATAATAAAAAAAGGGTGGGGATCTAGCTCAGATAAGCGCCCCTGGGGTCAATTCCCAATACAGCGAAAGTTTTGTGTCATACAAAGTCACTTTCAAGTGGGTGACAGTGCTAAAGAGTTTAGGCACTAGCAAGGCCTTTAGGGAAGACTTTAAATCTTTAAGCCATCTATCTCTTCTTTTTCTACAAGAAGGATTCAGTTTATGGGTTGGAATATTGGGAAGCCCCTAAATGGCGCAAGTTACAGTGTGAATACGTCTAAAGTGGTTATTATTGACGGTGGAGTTATTAAAGTAAGGAGTCAAGAATCTCAAAGAGGTTTTTTTTTTTTTTTCAATCTGCGGAGCACAATGCATTAGTGGGCTGTGAAACGAAACGTAGCTGGTAGCTAACTGTATTTTACAACAAAACAGAAATATCAAGAGTATAGGGAAAGTATGAAGAGAGTTTCTTTATGAAACTTCCGTTTTACATCAGTGTGTTTGTGTAGGTTGAGTGTGAGAGTGTGTGTGTGGCGGTGTCATTCTCCTAATAGAGAGCACTCTGGAGGTCCTAGCGGCTCGGACAGGAGGGGGCGGAGCCAGGCTCCAGCAGGGAAAGTGGAAGGTTCCCTGGGCGGAAAAATCGGCGGGAGAGCGACGCTGCGCGTGCGCGGTGCGCCCCGAAGGTGGGGGCAGCGTGGTGGGGAGGGCGGCGGCGTCAATGCGCGCAACTAGGAGCACGTGGCGGCCAGAGCTCTCCGCACGCTCCACGCAGGGACTACACTCCGATCGCCCAGTTGCTAGGCAACCGCGTTGGCCTGCCCCGCGGTTTCACAGGAGCCTTCTCTCCCACACCCCAATAGACACTGGTATTTTTTTTTTTTTTTTTTTTTTTTACCTTCTGAGGACGCCGCCCAGGAGAGATGCATTGAGGCATTCAGGGGGGGAGAGCCGCCTCTGAACTTCTCCCACAGTTACTTTGTACTTTGAAGTTGAACTGAGGAGAGACAAGCGACCCGGGACAGAGCAAAACACCTCGCCGGTGTTGACAGACATGCCTCCCAAGAAGCCATCTTTATTCATCATTAGAGAAGTCACAGATTTGGGAGGAACCGGAACTAGAAAGAAAGAAAAAAAAAATGCCATAAAGGTGACCGGGTTTCAATCCTGGTGACCGGTTGATAGAATGTGTCATTGCATGAGAACACATTGCATGAGAACACAGGTGAAACTCTGGGGGAGGAAATGTTTGTTCCAGTGGGGCTGCGGTGCATTCAGTGTGCTAGGAACAAACAGAAAAGCCTTCTCTCCTTGTAAACTTACCCCCAAGTGTGTAGACACCTGACTCGCTTACTATAGCCCCGCTTACCACGTGTATCAGGGAAAATACTCAACTCAGTGCTTGGATCTGGTGTGAAACGAAGCAAAACCTATTCTGTCCAGTGCTAGTGGTGTGACTGTGGACACCTCACTAAACTTCTCTGTTTCCTCATCTGTCACCTGAGAATAATAACGCCTAATTCATTTGGCGCTAAAGCTGAAGATATTATGGCAATTCAATGATATAAAATGGTAATACAAATGGTCTTTATGGAAACTCCTTCCTCCTCTCTTATAGGTCCCAAATCAATGGTCATAACCAAGTAGAATCAGGAGAATGGATCTGTCAGATGCTATCCCCAAGAAAAGACAGGCAATTCCACTGAGCTGAGAAGTTAGGCCCCAAAGAGCTGCTCATCTCAAAAGTGGGCCCCATTCTTTCCTATATAATAACAGCCACAGATTCATTTAGAAATGAACCCAAATGCTCATCTCCAGTGAAAGCAATTCCAAAGTGACATGAATTTTGTTTACAAATTAAAGCACTGGCTGGTGATTGTTTGAGGCACTTATGATTTACAACAGGTGCCCTGATCAATCAACCAATCACTGTAATTCATATGAGCAGCGGTCTTGCCTTGCCCCAGTTGTTTCATTTCGGCAAGTAATTGATAACAAACCGCACTCAAGGTATGTTTTATGCAGAAGTTAATAAGAGCTGACAGCTGGTTGCCACTGCTACGCTGGTGCATTCAGCCTCTCCAGCCTGTATTTCTGTTTAATTGTGTTTCATTGTCATCTGCATCAGGAAGAGGCTGAGCTCAGTGGGATTAGAAAGTGGGGAATGAGAAGCAGTGAATAGCCAACCTCCCAGTTGCCTGAAAGTCTTGCCCTTTGGACTTCTACACTACTCCAGCCCATTTTCTTTCAGGAACCCCAGGAGCCACTGGGCAAGGGTTTTCTGATCTGCCCTACACCTTAGCTTCTTCCATTGGGATGTGAAGCCCCAGTGGAAGATATAATACAAATCTGCATAATATTTTTGGTTCACTAGTTTAGGGAAGGTATTGAAACATGCATCTAGTATGAAAAAAAAAAGTTGTTTCCACTCTACCTTTTTGATAAAGCTCACCCTGTAACACTGACAGGGTAAAAATATACATTTTTTATACCAGCTACAGTCTAGAACTCCATATATCAAACAAAATGTATAACTTCCCTTGTATGAAATACACTAATGAAGACAGTGTTTTTGTAACAGTGTATTCTTTCTACCACAGATTCCACTATTCAGATTTTCATGATTGTTTAGAGACTCCTAGAAATAGGCAGGTCCCATTTCTGTTATATACTATGAATTGCATTTGGCCTTTTACAAATACCTTGTGGAAAAGAGTTTTCCTATGGTGGGTAGATGAAAGCTCTGAATTGCTACTTCTTGGCAGACATATAAGATCTCTTGGCCTGTCCACAGTGCCCAAAACCTTGTTCCAGATGGATGAATGATGTTAGGTACCAGGGTGCATCTTCTGCCCTGTCACGGAGTAGTGGAAACACTACAAAGGGGACTTTCTTCTTTGTGATTTCCCATATGTTCTCATTAGTGAATCTGCTTCTTGGTTGAGAGTGAAGCAACAAAAAGTCAAAGTCTATTTATCAGATTTGAATAAAATCTGAAATTAAAGTCGTTTAACATAGATGGATGTTTGAGCTGGAAACACCCTGCCATTAATTCTTCTACACAATATCCACATCTGTTTTAATCTTATTTTTCATAGCATTGGTGATTCCTATATTTTGGATTCATATTTAAAGGTACTAGAAAAAATTGCAATTATGGGAATTAACATAAGTTATAGCTGGAAAAAAATGACCCCCCAATATATATGATTCTTTGTAGTTTTAACATGATGAGAACTTTAAAAATAAATTTTATAAAAAGCTCACCTTTGATATTCAGCAATATTTTCATCCCTAAATATTACTTAGGATATTTTAACAACAAAGAAATCTTCACTAAACTGAAAACACGCAGTGCAATTCCTGCTTCTGCATTGGATAACCAAATATCTCCTGAACACTGGAACTGTACCTACTTCTTGAAGCCCCAGATGACAGATTTCTTGAAAAACCAAGACTTTAGAGACACTTTATAACCTGCCCTCTAATTTCACTATTGTTAATTGCCTGACTAACCTGACAAGACCAGTTTCCTTTGGGGAATGTATATTACTCCCTCCCTTGGGCTATACCTCTCTGCATATATATTATCAGGTAAATACCCCTAATCCAGCCAGTTTCTATCACCATATGCAGTCTTAGAGGAGCTTCTCCCTGCCCCCCTCCACACAAATTAAAATGTGAGCAAATGTGATTAGATTATATTTCCATTTTCTGATTTAAGTTTACAAATTATATTCCTACACTCTACTCTGTATCCTCAGGTTCTAAACCTCTCTCCTATCCTGGCATACTATTGCTCCTCTGGGCTAGATTCTTATACATTCCTTGTCACAATTTTCATCTATGTCCATAGTTCCACAATTTTCTACTTTCTTCTCCACTCTCACACCTGTGTACCTCAGCTGATTAACCCAGTATTTTATTATTTTTGCTCTTTTTCTTCTGCTTTTCTCCAGCTTATCAATAAACCCAGAGAGCAACAGGGCCCGGTTGATTTGTTAGTAATTATGAGCACACTGTTCCTGCTCACAGAACCTAGTGATGACTGAGATAGGTTTAAAGCGACAGCAGGAAATGGTAAGGAAATGGAGCATAGCAAAACTCAGCATGAAGCTTTAGGTTCTTTACATGTTTACAATTTTCTGTGCATACATTAAAAGTAGGGTTTTTCCCTCTTCAGTTCTCAGTTGGATGGCAAGGCCAACTTCTGGATTTTACACACACAAAAGTCATTCCCCTCCTTCTTCCTCTGCATTATGCTGGGAAGAAGAAAAAAATAAGGTTAAAAACAGCTCAGTGCTTCCTTAGAGTGACTACAAAGTTTTAAGATAGAGGAAAGTAAAATGATTATAGAGGAAATATTCTTCATTAGTGGACTATACAGAGCTAAAGTGTCAATGGGTTAGCTCTTAATCTCAAGTTTTTAAACAAGTATGAAATTATAGCTTTGAGAACTTTGTTTCTCAAGATCCACTGGTGGGAAGAAGAGAAGAAATTAACCTATTTTACAGATTGAAGGGTTGATTTGCTTTGAAAAGGGCTCTGACTTAGGTATGTAAACTACCTTGGAAAGCAACCAAGAGGCTTAGCATTGGTTTATCATGGCCCCTAAAAGTGAAATAATTACTTCATGCCAGCAAAGAATCCTTTCTTCACATTTACATCACTACCCATCACCTGAGCACTAAATTTTACTCCACATGTATAGCACTTGTATAAATGTGAGCACTGAAATCATGGAAAGAAAAAGAAAAGAAAGAATTCTCCTGCCAAAAAAGCTGTAATATAAAAACCTACAAACATCCAGTGCTGGCAAGATTTTGGGACAGAATCTATGAAGCTGAAAACTGAGTTGGGTCTCTTCACTTACTTGATGTGTAGAACCTTTAGACAGTAATTTTTCTTCTTTCTGTCTCTGTATTTGTGGGGTTTCCACACTTGGAGGAGAGCACAAGAGTGTCTTACCTTTTCAGTTTTGAAATTCTAGGAACTCTGTTCCTCCATGGGCGACTGAAATGTATCTCAGGGTCTCTGTTTGATACATAGCTATTATAGGGATCCAAAGTCAGCCCCGGAAATGCAAACCTCTTTATTTGAGGGAAAATTCAAATCTTTAAGGGACTCTGACAGACTTTTGTGATTTTTACCTTCTAGGCAAGAAGGAATAATCTCTAAAAACTCCATTGGAATTCGGATTTGGCAGTTTCTCTTGTCCCTCCTCCCTAAGAAAATCCACACGAATCAAAGTGTTTATGTGGGGAAGGGGCCAGAACTAACGGGGAAAAATGGGATAGAATGGAGGTTGAACTGAAACTAACCAAACAGGATATCCCTAAGACCAATAAAAATGCCCCACAGTCACAGCATTTGAACCTTGGACTCCAGCCACACTAGCCTTTCCAAGAAATCTCCAGCATATTTTCTGCTGTCTAAGGTGTCAAAAAATCTGTTTCTCTACCAAAACTTTTTCTTAAAATGTAAGTAAGTCTTTTTTAGTTAAGTTATATTATGGTGGCAATGATCATTTATATTAGCTGGGTACCCCACCCATTCCTAATCTTAATGGAACTGAGAGTTAAGAATGATTTTTTAATGTCTCGTTGGATTTTTAGACTGTTAATGTAGCGAATCCTTCTCATTATTACTTTATTGATTGCTCATTGACCAGCCCCCTTCAAATCGTATTAACCACCCTCTGCCGGTTTAGATTAGGAGAGTTTAAAAAGCACCTTTCATTACTCCCCCCCCCCCCCAACTCCTGCCATGGAGTTGAGACTAGGCAGCTTAATGGGAGCTCTAATGGGGCAGCTAAGAGGAGAGGGGCCACGGTCCCTGCCGATTGCATTAATAGCTCAAAGGGGGCCAATACAGAAAATTAGCCGTAAACGAGCTCTGGAGATCTTCAAATGAAAGAGCCATTTATCACGCTGGCTACCTTCACTCCACTCGTTTGCTCTCTCTACTGGGAACAACTCATTTCCTCTTAACTAAATTACTTCAGAAATGTCAGCTAAGCCCAGATAGCAAACATAACAAGAGAGGGAGCCTATAATCTACGGGGTGATATCAACACAGGTTTAAAAAAAAAAAAGACTGCTTAAATTTTAGTAGGTGCTTTGCCATAATTGGAATGAGAGAGAGAGAGACATAAAAATAGAGAAATACATCCTTTATGCCCAAGTCTTATGGCTTCATAAACAGGCAGAAACACTCAAACCCAGACCAGTTGCTGCCCTTTTATTAATGAGGTAGATTTTTTTTAAATCTAAAAGCCCATTAGAAAATAAATTAAGCAACTAAATCCCCTGCCAGTTGTTGAAATTTAGAATATTCGGTTCAGAAAACTTCCTCACCTTTTTTTTTATACAATTAATCTTATAGAGACATCCCTTACTCAGGTGGGTATGAGGAGGAGGGTAGGCAATATTAGAAGACCAGAGGGCAGRGAAGAGGCTAATGAATCCACAAGTTTATTTTAAGTGGCTCGTGGTGAGTTAGAAAAATAAACAAACCACTTATTCCTATTTTGCCTATGGCTCTTCAAAGATAAAAAGTTATTAGGATATTTTCTTCAAGTAATAAAGCAAATATCTCAAATATCAAATAATGGAATTGACCTAACATTCACATTCATAACATTCCCCCTGAATCAATTAAAATAACTGGGTGCTACTTCAATGTTTTAAGTTGTACCTTTTTTTAATCTTTTGGGGGATATAAAAAGTACTCCAGTGTTTCCAAAAACATAACCAGCAACTTTTGTCAATATTTTCTTTTCTTATTCTTATGTAGATAATCTTCTACATAAATATTCACATTTCCCTAAAAAACATATACAAGTATGCAACCAAAGCATCATACATTTTAGAATATTTTCAGCTTCATTTTGTTAGACAAGCTATGTTTCAAATATTTTTATTGGCCTGATTATTAATAACATTTCTGATTGGTCATATGCTGGGCATGTCCCACTGCCAGCCAAATGATGTTGCTAGGATACAGAACCCTGAGCTCAGTGGTTCTAACTTTCCATGAAAAGGGAGGGGGAAATAAAAGAAAACAAAATGGAAATTTTTTTAAAAAAAAAGGCAATGGAGAAACTCCTCCTTTAACCCACCCCAATCAACCAGCAATTAACCAAAAGAGAGGACCCAAGAGGAAATGGTGAAAGTGAGCTGTCAGCACAGTTGCAAGTCTAAGCACCAATGCTGAATACCTTAGTGAACCCAAAAGCTGGCATTAAAAACTGAAATGATATTATCTAAACAACAAAAAAAGAGATGCTTGGAGCAACTCTGAAATAGCCACCACTACCCCCCCCCCCAAAACACACACACACACACACACACACACACACACACATTACTATTCTTCAGGATATCCATTCCCAAGCCAAATGGCATCATATCAAATATTGCTTCCTTTGCCTACCTCTCAGAGCTATATAGTTATTACCTTTGTAAAAGAAAACAGAATACCTCCCCTTTATCCTGCAATCCTTCTATTTTCCCAATTTGACTAGATGGATTGATTACTTTCTAGAGCATCTCTCCTTTTAACTATTTTTGTGAATGTCAGATGACTCCAAGTAAATCATAAATGACTTGAAACTGGGGACTGTTAACATGAAACATAAGGCAGGCTTTCTGGAGCATCCATAAGAAAGGGTTACAGTAGTTAAAACTGTTTCCAAATACCAGTTCCTGTGATAATTAAAGATTGCACTGTTTACACATTCAAACTCCTAAATTTGTGGCATGTGAGTGACATTCAGGCCTTTCGGCAGCCACACTAATCGCCAAGCATTCTCTCAGTGACTGTCAGAGAAGAGGGGAAAAAATTAAGCAGCTGCAATACGCCTGAAATGAGTTATTGTAATTACATTTAATTAGTTTAATTAGTTAATTATTTTGCTTACAGCTGTACAAGAGACTGCAAACATTTGTTAATATCACATGCCCTTTAACAGTATGGGGTGATTCCACAGTCACACTAAATCATGAGTGCATATGTAGGAAGATTTAGATACGTGCATAGGCTGTCTCAGCTTTTCAGGATGCGCATATTTAGCAACACATTTGGCACAATTAAGAATAATAATAAGAAACAACTAATAAAATACAGAGAACTGGGAACAAAATTACCACAAAAAAAAAAAATCAAAACAAAAACAAGGAAAAAAGAAGCTGCCTCAATGATGCAGAGTTAAGCTCAGCAAACTCCAGTTATCGATGAAATAATTATAGTATATTCTTGAAACCAGTGTTTCCTAGCCAATTCCACAAACTATGATAGTTCAATTATTTAAGATAAATCTAGAAAGGCTACTGTATGTATTATGAGAAAAATAGCAATTGTATGTCCCTCTGTTTCTCTCATTGGGGTTTGTGTCTGTGGTTTTCACTCCTCCTGGCCACATTTCAAGGAAGAAGACTCCCTGAAATTGTACTATAATTCTGAACAAACATTTGTATTTTATAAAATATTGAGTTTCTCCAAAGTGAAAGCTCATCATAAAGACATTAAAGCACAGGAAAACTTTGCTTACTTTTGGGAGGAATATTCCATACCTTTTTTAATGACAGACTGGTCCAATAGATTCATGCCGCTGTTATTGGCATCTTCAACTGACTGTGAATATAAAAACATCACTATTCAAATTGACTGGATATTAAAGAATTGCACACATAAATCATGTCACTCTAAACTGGAATTTTTATATTTCCATTTATATTAATACACAAAGGGAGGTTTTATTATTATCATTATTACCTCCAAATCGACATAGAAATGAAATTCACCAAATTATAAATTCTTCCAATGGAAGAAAAGGAAAAAGGAGACTATGAGAGACATCTGGGATGCAACATTGGTTATTATATAAAACATAGATATTACATAGACATGTAAACCTTTATATTATTTGCTCTTATGAAGTGTGAAAATTTGGCAACAGCTGAAAGATTTTCACCAATATTAGTTAAAAGCAATTTCTGTTTTCCATTCTATCCCAGTGCATCTTAACCCCGAGGTATTTTACAAATACATAATAGTTTACATTATGGGATTTTAATTAAAGTCTGAGCAATTTGAAATGGAATGCAAACAGTAACACATAAGAACATGTTTGGAAGCCTCCAGGACCGCACACCCAAGGCAGTCTATACATGTTCCTGTGAGCTGTAAGATTCTTGCTGCACAATGACAATCCCTGAAGGAGCCTGCACCATGTACTCCCCCCTCCCAACTCTGCTGATGCTGCTTCCCAACATGTAGCACACCTGGTAGGAAGACAGTAACTACAGACACACATAAAGTGCAGGATCCTCCCAGTCAGCACCTAGGTAATCACAAGGAGCATTCATCTTCTGTGCCACAGTATTATCCCAGAAAAGGAAAGTTCCAACTCTGAGGATTGGCAGCACTTCTGAGGAAAAATAGTTGTTGGAGCAAGTTTCTTACTGTCAGGATGTACAGCAACTGAGTCTGGCTGTACATCCCAGTGTCCCAAAGTAGGTTTCCTCCCAAACTGCATACCAGTGAAAATAAATGCTTGATCGTTTTGAAATGTTCAACTAAGTTTGGACCAATTTGTCACCCACTCATAGAGAAGTATAAAGAAAAGGGCTTGGGAGTGAGGTATTTTTTGTTTTTGTTTTTGTTTTTTTTTCACAGCACCTCACACCCACCTGCATCTCCAGACAGGGTGTGTATTCACCATAAGAAAGACTGTCTACCCCCAATAAGCAACACTTGGGAAATGGGATGATTTCATCATCGGGGGTCATTTGTTTCTTTTCATTTTTAATGGTCACCTTTCTGCTTTTAGAAAGGTGAGGAAAATTGTTATTTTTCTGTAAGAACTGTTTTCCGTGTTGCAACATGCCATGTGCAACTTAAGAAATAGTATGCTGTTAAAAAAAAAATCGCATAACTTGTTCATAGCTCTTCAGGCGACCTGGCCACTCTGACTCGCATCCATACCCGTTTCCCCGTTTACTATGTGCACAGTGTCTACACTATCGATGGGTTCACACATGACAGAGACGCTCTCCTGTTCTGTGTGTGAGCAGACCCTCGCTTTCACGGGCCTGGACCTGTGAGCCCCACACCTCACCCTCACGTTAGTACGTAAATATGTATATATGCCTCATCAGCGACGTGGGGTAGTTGTGGTAGTTAATGAGAAGGCTCTTGTCTGATTTTCTATCTAATTACGGCCGCCTGCTGGGTTTTTGTACAGGATATTCACGCAGCATGCTGGCGCTTAATCGTCACAGGGAGGATCGTAAAGATTTAATTAGGACTGCATGCGGAAGCGCAGAAAAACAACTCAGACTCGTAATTACTAGACTTCTTTAGTTAAAAGTGATACTAGGGGTTGCTTTAAGACACAAGGGTGTGTGTGTGTGTGTGTGTGTGTGTGTGTGTGTGTGTGTTGGGGGGTTGACGTAACATCTTTTTATGTTTATGTTCATGGGTGGTAGAGGTGATTGAAGGGTAGAGAGCAAAGAAGTGAAGATGAAGGAGCGTACATGGCAACTGAACAAATCCAAAACTAAGTGTCATCTTGCTCCTTTTCTGTCTTTCTGTAGCCATTTTTCTTGAGTTTTTTTTTTTTTTAACACTACCCTCCCCACACACAATGGGTGAAATGTAGCATACCCAGAACCCAAACAGCGATTTGCTAGTTTAATAGCCCCAGTGAGTAAATTGAAATAGAAATTGACAGGGTTTTATAGTTTCATTTAAAAAAATATTAGAAGCATTTGGTTAATTAGCTCTCCTTCTCTTCTCTCACAGGGCGGTGGCCCTGCGTGTGTGCCTTTGGGTCACACAACATCCCCCAACCCTCGACCCACAGGCCTGGGCAATACCCTCCAGGTCTGTCTGGTCTTTGGCTGGAAGTATCCATAAACCGCCCCCCCCCACACACACACACACAGAGGCATGCACACACATAAACATCAGGCTTTTGAGACAGAACAAGTGACTCTGAGGTACAGGCCAAGGAATTCTCTTGTCCCTTTTAAGTACTAGAGGAATACAGACCAGACTGGTGCAGTCAACCCATTCTGAAGGTAGCTTCAAGGAATATTGAAATCCAGATAGGCCTGTGGAACTTAAGCTCCCAAACTCCAGATCCCTAACTTGGAAGTGGAGCAGACAAATTGCAGTCTCGATTTGGGTGTCTGATCCTATGTACCCAGCCTCTTCTGTCTTTTTCACCTTCCCTGTGTTGTGCCAATCTCAGACAGGAGGTCTGTCATGGAGAATGAGATAGGGACCATCCCTGCACAGATTGTTTATTTTCCTTAGGACAAGCACTGGGTGTATTCCCTGCAATTTCTCTGTACTGAGAGCTGTCCTGAGAAGGTCTTGCAGGACACCTTGCAGGCCATGGACTGGGATGAAGCTGGAGAAGGAACAGGTAGGGAATCAGGTGGAGCAGAGAGCATAAGAGGACTCTTTTCTAAGCTTTCTCCACCTCTGCAGTCTCCATTCTAGACAGCAACAATGATCTGTTCACCCAAACACTCTAAATCCTTTCCCATGCTTTGATAAGGATATTTTCTGAAATGCTCATGTATCTGACTCTGTTTTGCACTCACTCTTTATATTCTGAAAAATACTCAAAACACCTCCCAATTCTGGCCCTAAAAAAGTAACTCCAAAGAAATCTGCTCCCTCTTTAGAGGAAAAAAATTCAATTGCCTGAGCCCAATCCCCTTGGCCAGCAGGGTGGAAGTAACATGGCTGGTGTTAGCACCACCAAGAGTAATGGTGATGAGTTGATCCACTTTCATTATTCAGCACTTTGAACCATACTCAGAAAGGTTAATTTAAAAACTTTTCCCCCTGAGACACACGTTACCCCAATGCATTAAAAAAAAAACAAAAACTATGATATATTTCCTTTCTCGTGTGATATTCCAAAATGAGCAATATCTCCAAACAGGGATAGACAAGCTTGGTTAAATTAACAAACTATCACTCTTATTACAGTGGGTAAATCCAGCCATAAATCAGGTAATTTTTTTCTTAAATAATAAATAACCGAGTTTCTTTTAAAACAATAAGCCATCATAGACCATACAGAGACAGCATTTGTTGCTGTCACATTTTGTATTGTTTTCAATGAGGCAAAGAACTATTGGCATACCCTATTCTTTTTCCCTTTTCATTTTGGTCTACTTCAGATGTAAGTATAAAATGATGTATAATATATACAACTATGCCAATGAGATCCAAGTGTCAATTAAATACCCTTCAGCTATATTTATCTTTTCTGTAGATTATTTAAATGGGGGAGGGGAACCTTCTCAGAATCACTCAGTTTTTAGGAATCATTTCTTTGATGTTTCTTTGTTTAGTTTAACAAGTATTTGCAAATCAGTTTCCATTGTGTAGGTTGCATATGGAATGGTGGGTGGGGGAGTGTTTTGAGTCTTTTGTTTTAAGAAATAAACACGTGATACCCTTTCAACTGRGATATTGGCATTCGGGAGAGAAGAGTATTAATGGGGAACGGGACCCAAGAGGAAGGTGGATTATATTGTGTCACAGTCATTTAATGGACCAAGAAGTGAAAAGAATCTCCAAAATGGTATCTGTCCTCATAGACTCCCAAACCAATTTGTGGCTTTCTGTGTCTGTCCCCTACAAATATTCAATCCTTGGATAAGGACTCTGAAATCTTATCTTGGGAAAGGACTCTGCACTTTGTGGGAAATTCAAAGCAAGACCTGGCTTAACCAAACAGCTCCTGACTTTCTTCCAATGTGAATTGTCATGCTGAGTTAAATCTTTGCAAATCCAGCAGGAACTTCTGGACCCTACAGAGAAGGAGTCCTTGCACTTTCATGCTAGGCAGCCAGGTCTTCACCTGCTAAGTCAGTGGACAGGCCCACTATGGGGTGTGCATAGTGGTGTGATAGTGGGGGTGGGGTAAGTAGTGTGCCAAGCTTGCTCACACAAAGCAAGAAGAGAATTTGCAGGAGTTGGGCAGCTGAGGCAAGAGAAGAACATTAGTTTTGATTTTAATGATCCTAAACTATAAAAACTCATATATTTTGTCTCTTTCCTGATTTAAGTTCCAAGTGATTCTGGCTTTCACAAACAGACCTCCAGAAACTGCTGCTGTCTGTGTATATACATATACACGTGCATGGTTATATATGTCCTGTCCAGCTTGTCCTGTTCTAAAGATGAAAACAACTTCCTTCAAAGGAGACAAAGCTGCCCCTCCCCTGCTCTTACCCCGTCCCGAGGCATTCGTTATTTATTATTGTCTTGTTTGTTTGTAATTACCTGGACGTCTTCCATACCGGGATGGCCGAGGCCATGCAAGGAGAGGCTGTCACCCATGCCCGCATCCAGGCCGTGGTGAGCCGAATGAAGCAGCACGTCCGGCCGGCGGACCGAGTGGTAGTCCCTCCGAGGATCAAGGCCCGAGAGTTGGGGCAAGGCGGCCCGAGGCTGAGGCAGGAGAGAGCCGGCTTCCGAACCCACTTCTTGCCGCTGCCGTTGCCCCCAGGGGTGCTGCTGGGGTTGATGCAGTGGGTTCAGGGAGTAGGGGTCGTTGACGTGGGAGTAAGGATCCTGGCTCTGGTGGTAGGGGAGCGGCTGGTAGGGAGGCGGGAAGTAGGGCGGCTGGAAGTCCGATGACGGGGTGTGGGACAGCGGCGGGGCGCTTGAGTAAGGTCCTTGGGACACCGAGCCCAGCTGAGAGAGCCTCGAGCTGTGGCTCGGGACGCCATCGTGCCGGTCCTGGGAGCGAAGAGAGGAAGAGAGAGAGAAAGAGAAAGAAAGAAAAAAAAAATACAAGGGACAAATGGAGAAGCCTGGCTACTCCTGTAAGCCTTCCAGGGACAGGGGAAGCAGGAGTCTGAAACTTGGACCCTAAGTTGACTCTGGGCCACATGATTTCAGCAATTCCAAATGGGAGGCTTTGGGGAGGAAAGAAAAGGAGGATCACCCACTAACCAACATTTGAGCCTTCTTTTGGGAGTGCAAAGCAGGCAGAGGGGTGAGAGTAAAGGAACTGTGTGAACATTAGTTAAATGTCTTAATTTAAAAAGTAGGAGACTTACATATATAGTGTTTGCTCTTCTGCATGTTTTAAGCTATTTTTTTCCTAACTCTCCCAGAGATCCAAACATAACAAAATAGAAATTCAAATGTCTGTGCTGCTCCCCTGTTTAAAAACCAACTTCTGCCATCACTGGCAATGCAGCTGGCTGATCAGGAATCCCTTTCCCAACCTGGTGATTCCAAGACCTCTGAAGAATCTGCCTGATCTGAGTTCTCAATCACCCCTCCCTCCCCAGGAGGAATTAAATAACTTAAATACTGTTTGATTGAAACGGATCTCATTTGAAATCATATCCTAAGCCCATGTTAAATTAAGTTGAGTTGTGGTTTGCAGGAGTTATTTCTTAGCTTGCTTTTCTATATTGAATATTATTATACTTCAGGGTGTTAAAATGAAGAACCTGAAGTTGGGAGGGGGGAAAAACCCAGACAACTTATTCTTGGTTCTTTTTTGGAGTGTAAACCAAGTGAAAGAGAAGGGGGAGGCGTATTGGGGTCACTTTAAGATTCTCCCTCTTCTTTGTGTTAATACCATGGTAAAGTCCCCATGATTCTTTTTGCAGAAAGGGCCACCTAAATTTCCAAACTGCAATGGCAAATAAAAAGTTTTTGGTTCAGCCTCCCCCCCTCCCAGCTGACTCATGGAGCTCAGACGGAGAACACACAATGCAGAGAGAAGCAGCTGCAGCCTCGTCCAATTATGGTGCTAAATTACCAAGCCAAAGGCGCTCAAAGGAAGACAGAGGGATAGAAAGTGAGATACACACACACACACACACACACACACACACACACACACACATACAGAGATGCAGAGACAGAGAGACAGTGAGAGGAAAGAGCATGCAATTCTGGTACAACGTGAATCCAAACTCACCATGGATGAATAGGTGTGGACTAACATCTGGAAAAAAAAGCCTGGTTACTGCTCAAAATCAAACAATGATTTTTTTTTTTTTTTTTAAATCAAGGAGTCCGGTAGAGAAGTAAACTGGACACAAGAGCCGAGCTTGAGGTGTTTCCAGGACAAGCCATCAAAAAAAAAAAAAAAAAAAAACCCCTCCAACAAGATTCGCGATGCCTGTCACACACAGATAGAATCGTTCATCTGTGTCTTGCTGTGTTTTTGGCCTCTTTTCTTCTGCGGTTCTTCGGGGCTTGGGATGCAGTCCTCTTCCACCCGAAGCTGGGCTCAGACTGCTCCGGCGCCCCTTCCTCCCTCCGCTTGCCTACACCGCCTCATAATAATTGATATTCATGACTATTAATATTACACGAGTACTTTAAAGGGAGAATGGAGGACAAATGGAGCGTGAAGCAGCAGCGAGCGCAGAGCTCCCCTACTATTGTAAATGACGTTCATTCAGTGGAGAATTACTAGATGTAATCAGACGAGGGGGCTGGCAAAGGCAGACTGGGGAAAAAGTTTAGCAGGAAAGAGGCAGAACTTCAATTAACTGAGCCGGGACACGCGCAAGGCAGCCTCTGCTCCTTTGGACAAGCCAGTGAGAGAAAGCAGCACTGAGGGCTTGTTCAGAATGTAGGTATCCTTGTATAAGCAGAGAGACTTTCCTAATGGGAAGAAGTGATCGCCCTGGATGCTTTGTGTGAAGCAGATTAAAAACCAAAATAAAAAGGCATCGACTCCTCATTTGGAGGGAAGATAAAAGTAAATTGGTGGGCACAGTTATTTACGGTGACATTTGCAGACTTTCACTGAATGTGAAAGATTATGCTGAGTTTTTTTTTTTTTTTTTTTTAAACAGAGGTAAGGATGGGGGCTTTTAATCCTTGGGCAGACTTTTCCTCTTTAGTGTTCAGATAGCCTGCAATTTTTACCTCCATTTAAAATATACACGATCAATCTTCAAGTATACTAAACTTATCCTTTCAAGGCAAAGCCAGGGGCAACAGAAAACCTTTTTGGATGTTTCAAGAACCCGTTCAACTGGCCTGACTGCCATTTCTGTTAAAATTCAACCCTAGTCCAGACTTAAATAGGCTCCTTCCAACAAACGGAGGGTTCTCCTGGTTTTTGAGTATAAAATTTAGGCACCCAGGAACACCCTCGATATTCTTTCTCTCCTCCTCTCTTTTCTCCCTCCCCCTTTCTCTCCTCTTTCCCCCCTTCATGTCACCCCTCCCTCTTCCTCTCTCCCTCCCTTTTTTCTTCTCTCCCTCCCTCCTTTCCCATTTAGCCTTTTATTTTTCATAATCAAAGAACGAGTGTTACTCTGATTACTTTAATCCCTCTGCCTATACCCAGAGCTATTTACACGGTGGCCCCAGCCCTGCCAATATCACGTCTACTTTGGGTGTTCATGGTTCTAATGCCCTCGACTTTACTATTATCCCGCCTGTTAAGGAAAGAAAAGGAGGCAGAACCGAAACAAACCCCACCAGGCGCAGAGGCGCGTCTCTTTGCTACAGTCAATACACAATCATAACGAGGAAAGGGAAAACCCAATCATCATTCAACAGAAAGAAGAATCTCTTTCTTCCTCTCTCTTCTCCCTCGCTCTGTCTCTCACAACACAACCCAAATTAGGATTTAGGGATGGCAGGAACTGAGGGACACTGGGCGCGGGCGCTGGGCGCTGCTCGCGGGACTCTCGTCGGAGCCCCAGTCTGTCTTGTTAGCCCTGGGCAAGCGGCTTCGGAAAGAAGCCGGCCGGCGGCTTGGACGAGTCGCCCACTTTTAACATCCGCAAGGCGATTCCCGGCCGGTCTTTCAAGAGTCATCCTGGAGCTGCAGGTTTCTTGCCCGGCCCTTTAGGAGCCTCTGCGTCCCGACACAAACGCTTGGTCCAACCGGGCTTTGCCCAGTTCCTGTTGCCTGGGAATGTGCTTCTCTTCTGCCTTCTTCTCTCCAACTTTTTCCTCTTTAAAATCTCCACTGCCTCGCTCGTCCGCTTCGACCTCCCCCACCCTTCCCTAACTCCGGTTGGCCGTTCCCTAAAAGCCCTTTTGGAGGCTTTACTGCCTTGCTTCTTCCCTCATTCGACGTCTCCTCCGAGCTTTCGCTTCGGCCTTTTCCCTCGCTCCCAACTGGAGGTCTCCCAAGCTATTCCTCCCCCGAACAAGGTTCCGCGGGCCCGGCCTGCCGTCCCTCCCCGTCCCGCCTCGCGCCCTGCGTCCCGCCCGGACGCCCGCCTCTCCCGTTAGCCGTGGAGCTTCGCTGTCGCCGCGTCAACCCTAGCCCGAGATGGAAAAGGGCATGGGTGAGCGCGGTCGGGCCCCGCGGAGGCGTCAGGCTCCGGCTCTGCGGCGCGCAACTTCTCCAGCCCGAGAGGCGTTGCGCTAGCCTCGCAGGAGAATCGAGTGCACAGAACCTGGCCAGAAGATTTCGTTAAAAGTGCCCAAACATAGTGAATCTGCAATCTCTTTTTGGATCCACTGACCAGCAAATAAGCAAAACACAAGAAAACAAAACAATAATAATAATAATAATAATAATAATAATAATAATAAAAAATTGTCGGCTACGGCTCCTTATACTGTGATCTATCCATCCATGTATCCGTCTGTTTTATCTCTCCCCCTCTAATTTTCAGTCCTGCACTTGGATTTGCTTGTTACAATTTCAGAAATTTTATTGAAAATAAAACTTAAAAGCCTGAGTCTGTTATGAAAGAGGCTTGAAAACCCAATTCTCTCCCATACTCAAAACGAGAAGAGCGCCTGCCTTCAMCTGAATCTGTTTTTCTCTGACAGTTTACCCACATCAAGTAGCACCACATTCCCCATCATAACCTAGGGGGAGGAGGAGAAGAGAGAAAAAGAAAAGAAAAAAAAATAGTTCCTAAATTAAAGTTGCCAGACTTCAAACTTAAAAGTTCTTTTTCAGAATAGCGAAGTCTCCCAGAGTCAGTCTTTCTAAAAGTTAAAGAACGCTGAGAAAAGCAACCGGAAATCTACGACTAAATCGCTTAAAAATATATATCAGTTGGGGTGTCAAGAAGCTCAAATTCTCTGTCTGCAAAGCTCTAAAATGCATCTGGGGGTGTCGGCTCACCTCATAGATATCCTCGTACTTGACATTCTCCACGAGCTTCCAGAGCATGATGGCAGCCTGGTCTCTAGGAGGTGAGTGCATTCATGTGAGGAGCAGATGTCTGGCTTCTCAGGACTCCGCTGTCTGTAATGATCCATCTATAATTGGAAATGGGGGATACACACCAAATCCGACGCTCCTCTCCCATCGCAACTTATATCTGTTGTCTCAAACAATAGGCTGGAGAAGTAAGCCTCAGCAGAAAGAAAAACACTATTGCACACACAGGAGTTAGATGCAACCCACAGACATATATATATTATAAAAAATCATAAACACGCATTTACACTCAGATACCCACATTTAGTTATATAAGCACCTATGGGTCACACAGAGTCTACAGACCCTAAATGTGCATTTAAAAGAGAAATAGTTATTCAGGGTGATTGATAAATACATTTTAAAACCTCTATATTAAAAATGATGAATCATTGTAGCCACTGACTAAAATCTTCAACAATTCATAATGAGAAACCAGAGGCCATCAGTCCTCTAATTTTCTATGTAGATTTTTAAAGGGGGGGGCATTACTGAGCTTTTTAAACACAAATCTCTTATCTTTGTGTGTACAGGAGGAGAGTATTTGAAAACTGGATTTGGTGATTTTTAAAAAGGCTCTCTGTATTGATGATTATACAACTTTTTTTTTTTAACTGTCACTATGGAACAAAAAAGCTAACTACACAAGGACCATTTCAAGTATTTTTTTTTTTGTCATTTTGCTTAACATATTTGGAAACTTTAGCAATTTTCTGAATATCTTAGTCTATACTGCTTGTTGATTCAGAGTTTGTAGTATGTCTTTTCAACGTATTTCATGCATCATTCTTTTTGGCTGGAGTCTCCATTTTATGAACTTTTTGTTTTCAGATGTTAGAAGCAACAAATCCACATGCTCATATAATGTTAATTTTGAGTCTTCTTCACAGATGCGTAGGACATTTTATATTTACATCTCTTGTCTATCACTTTGTAAGTGGTTTTAATCATGAAGAGTCAAGAAATCGACATATAAATCTTTGAGAAGATTTAGGCTGTATGTTCTTCAAGGATATAATGAAAAAAATTTAGGCTGTCAAGAGGTTTTGTTGTATTTTTTTAAAAGATATTTTTCTTAATAAAGTGGCTCATATATTTTGTAAAGGAAAGCATAAATAACAACAAGAACAAAGTTAACCAAACCTCATAAATAGGTGCTCTTTCAGATACTTGGTTTCTAATTTATCAGGAAATAGATACTCACTTATCCCTTTTTTCCCACCCCCTGTTTTTCTACTGCCTTCCAGGGTGCGGCAGGAAGACTCCCTACAGCCAGAAGGGTGGCACTGGGGAAGATCTTTGCCCCTGGGGCAGAAAATAAATGGCAGGAGGGAAGGAGTGTTGGGGCAATTTGAGGTGGAAGTTATTAAACCTGATAAGAGTGAATCTGCAAAGGGTGATTGTCTTTAAATCTGCAATTGCTGGGCGCTGCCGTGGTCCAGCACAGACACTTCTCAAACAGAGGGCTCCTGACAACCACAGTGAATATGGATTCAATAAAAACGGAGGAGATGCTTCATGTAGGACAAAATGAACAATTCTGCAGATTTTGATTATTTTTGCCATAAGTCAAAGGAGAGAAACATAAAGGTGCTTCAACGGGAACTTAATAAACCTTTTTCTACGTTTCCAGTTCTAATTTTTATGTTTTATCTTTTCTTCCTTCTTCTCTCTTATTCCTTTCTTTCCTCTGTCCTGCTATACATCCTTCTTTCCTTTCTTCCTTTTTTCTTTTTTCTCTCTCCTTCTTTCTGCCTCCCTTCTTTTCTTTCTTTCATGCCTTCTTTCTTTTCTCCTTCCTTCCTTCTTCTTTAAATATTAACATGTTAAAGTACACAGAATCTGCACAGGTTTTCCACTAGGAACACAAGCAAAGACTTTCCTTTTTGCTTGGAGAGCTAGTTAGGAGACGGAAAAACATTCTTCCTAATCTCATTATGTGATGGGACTTAAAATGAGTTCCACACACCTTTCTAGAACTGAAGTCAGTCCCAGATCAATATATTGAAACACAAACGYTATAGACTTGAAAATTCCAATCCACCAGTCACAAACTCATTAATGGGGAAAAAATGTCTTCTCCCTTTCAAACCAACAAATCCTCTATATTATCTAAAGATCATCTCTGCTCAAATAAAAAAAAAGTATTTGGAAAAAATCTTAAATCTTTCTAAATACCTTTAACACATTTTAATCACTTTTTATGTCATTGATTAATCTGAAATAAACGGTAAAGTTTAATAAAACAAAACAACCTCTAGAGATAATTTTATATATAAAACTTTAAAATATAATGTATTGTGTTAGTATGACTATTTATAACCTTATGTATGTATAATTTTAAATTTTTGTATGTTTTTAAAAATGTAAAAAAATCTTGAAACATTTGACTAATATTTATTTTAAATCTTCAGGCAATTAAAAAGAATAAATCCGATTTTATTAAAAATGAAACAAATATAAAATTATATGCAGTCATGCACATAAATGTAGAATCACTCAAAGAAATACATATCGATAATAAAAGTCCTAGTTAATTTTTTGACGTGGGCATTATTCGAAAAATCCTAGAAATTTCAAGGAAAACCATTCCCCGGGTGCGTTCCCTAAGTCATTGAACGGGCAACATCGCCCTCTGTCGGGATTTTATAGACGCAAACTCTGAAAGGTCGCTCATTTCTTTTTCGGTGATTTTTTTTTTTTTTTCGGACTTTTAAACCCGTTATTACCACGAGTATGTCAAACGTTCATTTATTATTGCATGTACTAATTTTCACGTGTTTCAACATGTGAAAAATTCAAATATCTAAAAAAAATTGCAAATAAAAGCTCAATCTCTACTGAGATAATTTCTCCTAACTTGGACAGGTCTCTCTTGCTGTGCCATTCTATTACATTTCGCTATTAACATGCATTCACGTGACGTAGAAAAAGATTCCCGCAAGTTCACAGTAAATGCAATCGCAAAGGCAAAGCAACTCTGGAGTTCGAAAGGAAGTTAAAGACGACGATATGCATTTTCACCACGATTTCTCCTTGCCTTATGCTCCAATTTCTTTTTCAGGGCACGCACAGGCTCGCTCTCCTGGCGGAAGAGCGCTTGAGACATCTTAGATAGTTATAACTGTATTTAGCCCTTTCATCCATATTTATTTTCGTTTATAACAGCAGAGAGTTAATAATACCCTCCTTTTTTTTTTCAATCTCAGACGGAATATTGTCCAATAAATGTAGGAACCAAAAAGCGAAAGCAAATCCACCTAGCGTGGAGCCCTCTGCTGGCAGCTTTCGGAGTCGGTTTATGATTTTCTATAAGGTTAGCAAAAATATGATTACATTAAATCGCAGTTAACTTTTAGCACTTTCATTCCTTTTTTCTTTTAAAAATGTAATTGTGAATTATTTGAATCTCTTTAATTCCCGTTCACTCGTCTTGTCTTGGCATCTATGACGGTTTCCCTTTGTACATACGGATGGACCATTTTTTCTTTTTCTCTATTGCATAGTCTCCCCAGGTTTCCCTTTTCCATCTTCTCAAACACAAAGATAACAAAGTAAGAAAAGCTACGACTTAGAAGTACTAACTTGGGCCCTGACTCTTTTCATCCTAGATAATGGGAAAATTTATTTAATAGACTGAAACTCAGTGTACTGATCTATGAAATAGGAAGGATTGTGATTAAAATAACACTCGTGAAAGAAATAATATGCGATGCAATTTCTTTGTAAACAGCTTTATAAACAACATCTTATCAAAACACTGAGTTGGGTTTCAGGAAAGTGGAGGTTTTCTAGGCTAGGAACTTGCATTTGTTTCTGGCTAGAAACTGGAGGTTAGGAGCCCCAACTTAGGTCTTCTAAACAGATACTCAGTACTTTTCCCACAGTATCATGATGCTGCCTTTGTTCCTTCCTTCTGAAGTTAGGAAAACAGTAATTTTAGATTATTAAGGTTTTTCAGGGTCATTTTTTGCCCTGGACTTATAAATAGGCAAAAAGAAAAAAAAAGGAAGAAAAAAAGCACTGACTCATTCCAATTTAACTCCAGTATTGTTCTGCCCTTACCCATCAGAAGCATCAATGTTTGTAGGGTTGGTCAATAAGATGTTACTACTCTAATTTTTATTGTGACAGAATCTTTGTTTATATATATATATATATATATATATATATTTGTATTTTATATATATAAAACAAATATATATATGTGTGTGCATGTGTGTATGTATGTGTATATGTGATATATATATATATATATATATATATATATATATATATATATATATATATATATATCTATATATATCTCAGAGGTTGAACTCAAAGGTGCTTAACCATTGAGCCACATTTCCAGCCCTTTTAATTTATTTTTTAAATTTTGAGACAGGGCCTTACTAGGTTGCTTAAGGCTTGCTAAGTTGCTGAGTGAGGCTGGCCTCAAACTCGTGATCCTTCTGCCTCAGCCTCCCAGGCCACTGGGTTTACAAGTGTGCGCCACCATGCCTGGCTGATATATATATATATATATATATATATATATATATACATACATATATATATATATATATGTATATATATTTTTTTTTTAAGAGAGAGAGAATTTTAATATTTATTATTTTTTAGTTTTCGGCGGTCACAATATCTTTGTATGTGGTGCTGAGGATCGAACCCGGGCCGCACGCATGTCAGGCGAGTGTGCTACCACTTGAGCCACACCTCCAGCCCTGTTATATATTTTAACATCAGTTTAAAAAACTTGCTGTTGAGTGGGTGAAATGACAAGCACCTTGCCCTCAGCTCTATAGGGCTTTGATACTAATAGGTTTGAGTGATTTTCGAAACAAATATAGGAGCAATTAATACTTGCATAACAATATTTAATAAATTAATTACAGGTAAAATTATCTCTAGATTAATTCTTCATGATTATATAGATTGAGGCGAATACCAAATAGAAAAATTTTATATTTTAATCATAATATTAATCAATGCTATATTTGTGA